CAACGTGAAGAACTGTGCCAGAGCATGGCATTGTTTTTTTCTTTTTAATTTTAAAGAGAATAAAAAAAAATCAAAATAACAACAACATAGACAAAAGCAGCACAACACAAAAAGAATAAAAATGAGACAGTGTTTCAAAACAAAATGATAGGAATTAACAGTAGCTATTATATTACATATTGTTATCTTTAACGAAGTTGCTCAGATTACCAGATGTAAGAATGCAAGATTGATCAAACCATTAAAGAGAATAAAAAGTAAAAATAAAAACCTTAGAAATGATACAGAGCTTCATTAAACAAGACGGTAGGGATTCACCAATGGTTGTTAAGCATGGCATTCTTGAATAAACTCATATCACATGTATTACAATTTTGCACAGTAGGACCCAAACAAATTACCTGGCTTGTTAGTGGGTGTTTGTATCCTATAAATGTGATTAGTCAGTAATCAGAAGAACTTATCAGTATGTACTGCTTTCAAATGTAGGTTTAGAATATGGACTTTAAGGTCATATAGTATAGCTTCATGAAAATATCCAATTTTAATTACAAAATTCTTTCAGTTTTAAAAAAATTCGTTCATTTTTTGAGAACTTTACAAACACCAAATGATAAGCACTTGTGTATCCATCACCCTAAAAAGATACTAATGAACATGCTGTCATATCCACTTTATGTCTTTCTTTGGTGAAAGAAATCAAATGTACAGAGAAAGCTGAAGTTCTTCCTCATTCCCAGGCACACCTCTGTCCCTTCAGGCAGTCCTTTTCCCTGATTCTCCAGTCCTATACAGTTATGATCAGTTCATTTTTGTGTGCAGAAAATATGCTTAGTGTTGTAGTTTTTCTGTAACAATATCTAAATATACTGCTCAGAATTCCTTGTTTTATTACTGAAATAATGATTATCCATGTGTGAAATCAATGTTTGGACATATTATGATTTTAAACTTCACAAATTCATCCAGAAAAGATCAGTTACTTTATTATATGAAGGAGAGAATACTTTATATAGTTTCATGATAACCCAGATTAGTTAAGGAAGCCTTTGTAATTGACATAGTTTCTTGAATATACTTTATGAAGTCTGATTAGTAGTCTAGACCATGGCTACTTTAATGATAAAGCAACTAGAGGTTTTCGCTATCATGAATATTAAATAATACAGTAAACGGTACTAGCAACATCTAGAGAATTTTGATTAAAGGCATTAGTAATATCTACAGTATTATCCTTTATCATTTTATTAAGGTATTTAATTGAGAATATTTGTCATCAGCATTTGAAAACAGATTATACTTCTATAACATCAAAGTAGCCCCTTAGATTCACCCTTTCAGGAATAATTTGGAAATAAAATCCTGTGGTAGGGTTATTTTGGGGCTCTTTGGTGTAACTTTGCTATTATCTTGGATTTGGGGGACAGGGTCTTACTATGTAGTTCAGACTGGCCTTGAACTCACTTTGTAGCCCAGGCTGGCCTCAAACTCAGCGATCCTCCTGTCTGCCTCCTGAATTCCAGAATTACATCAGTGTGCCGCTGTGCCTGGCTTACCCTGATTATCTTGTTAACCTTGGATGAATCATTTATTCACTCTGGGACTCAATTTCTTCATCTCAAATAATGCCTTGGTTGATAAGATGAAGGTGGAGAAAAATTAAAAGAAGTGCTCACTAATATTTCTTTCAGCTCTAAATTTTTATTATTCTATTATTATTCATTTTCTTCTCACTTCCTTCTCACTCAGGGTTCTAGGACACAGACTGATAATTAGTCAAAATTTGAGGAAGGCTGGGTGTGGTGGTACACGCCTGTAATTTCTGCATTCAGGAGGCTGAGGAGGGAGGATCGTTGCGAGTTCAAGACCAGCCTGAGCTACAAAGTGAGCTGAAGGCCAGCCTGAACTGCATCGTGAGACCCTGTCTCAAAAAGACAGAGAAAAAAAAAATTGAGGGGATCATCTAGAAAAAAATAGGCTTAACATTAAAGGTATAACAATCTCAAATATAAAACTTCATAATAAGGTCAAATAATTCAGAAGTAACCAGACAAAAACTGCTAGAGAAAGAAGTTAACAAATAGAGAATTGTACTTTATTATATCTACTGTAAATATTTTATGGGATGAAGAGTATTTATTTATTTACTTATTTTGGTTTTTTTCCAGTACCAGGGATTGCACTCACAACCTTGGGCTTGTCAGGCAGGCGCTGTGCTGCTGAGCTAAATCCCCAGCTCCAAGAGTATTTAAATAAGCTCATATTCAAGAGTTGAGTTTCTACTCAAAACAGGGACATAGCTAATGTAAAAGACAAACACTGAAGATTATTGAAAATTTCCTTGTTACTGTGGAAAACAAGTTGCTGTGCATTATATAATCAATGACTATCCCATGATCTTGTGATCAGGTCAAGTTATATTCTCTATCATCAACACTTGATCTTAGCCAAAAGGCCGAGAAGTGATATCCATCATCAAGAATTTTCTTGAGAATGTTGCAAACAATTAGCTTGTAAGAATAAATGGGAGCCAGGCTGTGGTGGCTCATGCCTGTAATTCCAGCACTCAGGAGGCTGAGGCAGGAGGATCGTTGCCTGGGCTACAGAGTGAGCTCAAGGCCTGCCTGAACTGCATAGTGAGACCCCGTCTCAAAAAGACAAAAAAAAAAAAAACAATAAATAGGAATCTGGGTATGGTGGTGCACGCCTGTAATTCCAGCACTTGGGAGGCTGCACGAAGATCATTGCAAGTTTGAGACCAGCCTGGGCTACAAAGTGAGCTCAAGGCCAGCCTGAACTGCATATGAGGCCCTGTTTCAAAAAGACCAAAAAAAAAAAGAATACATAGGAATTGGCAAATGAGTGAAATAATAGTGCTTATTAAATATAGTAAAGCTGCTTTCAACAGTTTTTGCCTATAAATGAAGATGTAGTAAGTTTTTACATCTTAGGGGATTTGAAACTCTACTAATTCTGTGTTGGAATTTCTCATGCATTTGTTTCATTCTTTTGTGCAATTTTAGAGTCTAGGGGTAAAAAAAGCGACAGTGATACAAATATCAACACAGGCTGTGGAAGAAACCTGAAATTCTCTCTGCCACCCAATCTCCACCTACATAGAAGCCTCTTCCCAGCATGCAGAGGGATATCTATCTAGGCTATTTGGGGATTCCCAGAAGAGGAGAATCCATGCTTCCTGTCAGAACCAAATTACCCTCACGAACCCAGTGCTCTCCCCATCGAGTTAGTAGATGTGAAAGAACACTGTAAACATATTGATGTTGGGGGATCATCACTGAGATGACTGTTCCATAGCCAACCTAATCACAGATACCCCAGGTGGCAGAGAGTTCAATACAGTTACCAAGGAATTGATGGCACTGGGGACTAGATAGGGATTTGGGGGTCTTAAATTTCTCTCTGTCTCTCCCCCGCCTCATGCTTAGGATTGAACCCAGGGCCTTTTCGCTAACCTACATCCCCTGCTTCCCCCTCTTTTTTGAGACAGAGATTTGCTAAGTCGCTATAGGCTTAAATTTGTGATCCTCCAACCTTCCTGTCGCAGCCTTCCAGATGATAGAATGACAGATATCCACCACCACCCTCGGCTTAGATATTTACATCTGTATGCCCTGCCTTGGTCAACCTTCTCGCCATGTTCCAGGCATGAGCATATTCAGAGGCCATGCCAAGCACATACACACTTTGTATGACTATAAAATTTCAGCGTGGCACCCAGGTAAGTGAGGCTGCCCATGGACAGGCTTCCTTTTACTCAGACCCAAAGCAGGAAGCATGCACGAAACCAAAGTACATCAATCAGCCTCCCTCCCCCATTACTCTAGGCCTTTTGGTGAGGAGGAAAGGGAAGTCGTGGGGAAATCAGCACATGGCAAGGGGAAATCAAGTGGTTTTCTCTGTGGCCTGGAGCTGAACTGGTCTAGTGGGCCTGGGCCCGTGGCACGGTAACCCATCTTTCCAGTTTAAGCATGGAGGAAAGAGGATCTGAGGAGAGGGGACCCCAAGGAGTGACCCCTGGGACTCTCCAGTCTGTCTGTCGTGGCTTCCCCATATCAAGGTGGTATTTTCCCCTCCTCTTCAGAGCACGAAGGATTTTCTTCCTCTTTCTTTAAATCCAATTTCTGTGAAATCTTAATTACTTTTTTCCTTGAACATAAAATAGCTTGTTATCTATTGAGTGCTCTAGGTATCATAGGTTCTTTGCTTTTAATTTCTTACCTGTTTAAAAAAATTATTGGGTTTGTATGTCCCAGAGAGGCTGTGACTATTTTTGAACTCAAGTTAACAAGCTGCTAAGTTTTATTAGCATAACTTGCTTGGGAACTATTAAGTGCTTTTCTTAAATTACACCTGATCATTCTTTACGTTTTTGATTTATGAAATTCTCATCCTCTCTTTCCAACACATAAGACAGGTCAAGTACACCCTACGTAATCAAAGATGGGTTTGCCTGCCTGGGCCGGAAAGCCAGAAGGCCTAGAGCAGTGGTGGCGAACCTATGGCACACTGCCACAGTAGGCTGTTTGTTATCATTGAAAGCTCTACAAGGTTCGCCATCGCTGGCCTAGGGTGTGCAAGGCCAGACTGACAGTTGACAGGGCAGGTGACCAGGGCTGTGGTGCTCTTCTGCCTACAAGCTGGGGTTGCGCTCTCCCATCTTGGAACTAAACACAGTCATATTTCAGAGACACTGAGAGCATAAGTGAGAGAGAAAGTGCAAAAATGTTTTGGGGAGTTACCTGGCCATTTCATCCGTCCCTGGAAGATGCAGAGAGACTTGGATGCTGAAATAATTTGGACACCATCCCTGACTTCTTACACTGGAGCTGTAACCCATTCCCTTGTAATTTTCCCTCTTTTGTCCTATCTGGTATTCCCGTGCCTCATTCCCCTTTAGCATGAAGAGTATTAAGTATCTGAAGATACTGTGAGATTTTCATTTAAGGTTAAAGTATCATAATGAAATCAGAAGTCACAAATAACGATATTAAACTTGGGTTTATGAAAAATGTGTTTTTTGAGACAAAATAGTACACGTTGCTTTTCAAGGAAACAACGGGCTTCTAGCTTCAGTTAAATACATATATCTTCTAATTTTAACATAATTTCGTAAATCTTAAGTAATTAAATCTGTTTTATGGAGTCCGAAGACAGGCGCACTGGAATCAGAGATACGTAGGTTATATTCAGGATTCTCTAGCTGAGTGCCCTTGGCAGGTCATTTACCTTCCTTCGCCTTATCTCCTCATCTGACAAATGCCAAGAGCAGTAACTGCCTCTCAGGGGTTTGCTGAAAAGTGGTGCAGGTAGAAAGTGGAAAAGCATGTGACCGTGGGTAAAAGGAGTGGACACTGACATAGAGCCCCATGGCCAAGTGATGGAAAAAGCCTAAGTTAGATGAAGGAGACGGGGCGAGATGGACTACACAGCAGCACCTCAGCGAAGACCCACATGGCCATCTGGGAAGACAGCCCGAGCACTGTTCTGGGGAGGTGGATTGAAAAAAAGACACTAAATACGGTGTGGTGAAAACGGGGATTTTAGATGGCGTAAAATGAAAAAAGAACTACAATAAAAGAAAGGAGGTTGGATTTGGATCTAATTCTGTGGGGCTGAGATGCAAAAGGATCAGAAGAGAGAAGTCATCCCTGGCACAGAGCCTGCCCGATAGTGGACCACCGGTGAAGGTAGCTCTTACTCCTTACGGAACCTGGTGCTGCTCCGCAGGGCTTCGTCTGTGTGAACTTGATGGCCAGCAATGAGCTCGCTGATACCTGGAAGGGTAGGAATCGGGCCGGCAGGGTCCAGGAACCAGATAGACGTTATGAGAAGCAGAAAATGGAAATAATATTTTTTTCATGATAGAGAAAAATTAAGACAATTGTAGCAGCAATGACTTATTGAAAAATTACCATGTGCCAGACATTCGTTTATTTAACATATATAACAATATATATCATCTATATCTCCCAGGGCCTTTGCACTGAGCTGTGTCCCTTGCCCTATTTTTTACTTCAATGTAACATATGTCTTTAGTACTACTTTTTTATTTTACAGGGCCTCATTAAGTTATTAAGTTTCCCAGCCAAGGCTTGAACTTGTGATCCTCCTGCCTCAGCCTCCTAAAGTGCTTAGATTACAGGTGTAGACCATCATGCCCAGGCCTCCGCCCATATATATTTATTGAGTGCTTATCTGTCCATCACTGTTGTAGACTTTGGGAATATAGCATGTAAATCACAAACCCTGCTAATAGGGAGCTTACATCTCGCAATGCAAGTAAAATATACAGTATGCGAAATGCTAATACGTCCTTTGAGAAAACAATAACGACAAAAAGCAAACAAGGGCTATACAGAGTGGGGGTAGTAATAATTTTAAATGGGGAGAGCAAGGAAGGCTTCTGTGAGGTTATTTCAAACCTGTCCCATGCTTTACATCTTGTAATGTTCTCACTGAAGAAGTTACTTTAACACCATGCTGCTTTTCAGGTGGGTAACTGGGCCCCAGAGTCCCTGTGGGCCTTCCCTGAGGTTTATAGGTGGCTATGTGTCAGAGGCAGGCTCGGGGCTCAGGCGCTGGACTCCAGAGCTGTCCCCGTGTGTAACACTTCTCCTGTAGGGAGCTAGAAAGAGCCCCCGGGCATCTGCCGGAATGGACAGCGAGCAAGTCGCCTGAAAAACATTGAATCCATATTATCACGGTATCAGTTTTACCTTTTGAGATGCGTCTTGTGTGCGGAGTGACTCCCAAACATAAAACGACACAATCTTCTGGGTTCACAGGTCGCCAGGGACCCATCAGGGAGCCCCGTTATGAAATCCTGATCCGAGTCCAGCCCTTTTCCTTTCTTGCTACAGGACCAGGGACCTCAAAAGTGTAAGGGAGTTGCCTAATGTCACAGGGCCTTTTGGTGACAGTCCCAGGACGAGAACGGAGCTTGAAAAAAACAACTAACCAGTACAAGCCCCAAAGGTCCACCGTCCTGGGCCTCTCTGGAGTGCAGAGACCTCTGTAGAGCCGGACATTCGTTCAGGGAGAGGGATTTAGTCGGTGAAACCCGCTAGCAAATGGGCGGGGGAAGGAGGAAGGTGGGGGCCGTGAAGTGTGCCCCTACCTCCCTCATCCTAACAGGGTAGATACCACTGGTTGTTTTGTGTATATAAGGGAGCTCCGAGAAAAACTACTTTCTTAAGGGCAAGAAGGACTCCTGATCATGGACCTTCTTTTTCCCTATCTGTGGGTTTCTTTGTTTCCATCATTTCTGCCCTCGGCTTTCTTCTATCTGTCCAAGGCGAAGTATTGAGGTTTTCACCCTTGTTTTTTCTTAGTTATCAAGTATCCCGCGGCAGCCTAAGCATGTGGTTGCCATGACAACACAGCCTTCGCCGCGGCCGAGCCTCAGGCTTTGCCCGCGTCAGTTTTCACCGAGTGGTTCGTTTCCCTTGTGGGACTTCCAGCGCCTGTCACTCGGCAGCGCGCTCGGTACCGCCCGCCCCGCATCCTCCTAGCGGCAGCACCAGCCCGCCCGGCCCCCAGCGCCCCGGCGTTTTGCACAACCCCAGCTCCCCCTAAGTTCCCGCCGAGCCGAAGTCCTGTGGTTCCTCTCTGATCTGAGTCCCCTGGCCAGCAGCCTTCAGCTCATCATAGCGTTAATAGATACCGCAGAACGAGTCAAGCCGGTATTTACAGGTGGTACACAGGTAAATGAATGCACACTCAAGCGTACACACTGCACAAACCGCCCCGGGCAGGTGCACTCCGGAGGAGCCTGGGCTGCAGCCCGCCGGACCAGCGAAGCCAACCCCGCGGCTCTGGACACTGGATCAGTGGGCGGTACCAGCGTGGGCGGTGAGTGAGGCGTGATTGGTCTGCGCCCTTGGGGGGGCGGGGCCGGCGGTGAGCGGCAGCCGTGTGGGAGGTGAGCTGTGCCGTGATTGGCCGGCGGCGGGGCGGGGCCGGCGGCGGGAGGCGGGGCCGGCCGCGGAGTGGGTGTGCGCGGCGGCCGGTGCGGTAGTTTCAGTATAAACAAGGAGCCCTACTGGTTCAGGCGGGTTTTCGTCCTCCTCTCCGCGCGCTTTCCTAGCCTGCCCTTTGGCCGCGTTTGGAGGCGCGCTGCACGCAGCCGGGTGGCAGAGGACCCGGGGTTTCTCTGAGTGCAGGTAGGTGGCTCCCTGGCGGGATGATTCTCCCGGGGGTCGGGGGCCCGCGGCGGGGACGGGGCGCCGAGG